AGGCTTCATGAGAGGAATATAAGTCTCGTGTTGTCTGCTTATATTCGTGAATTGATGATAGAATATGATGAAATTTTAAATAAACATTTGATTCAGCCACTAGTGCTATGATGTGAAAAAGGGCTCTTAGTAAATTGAAGAAAAAAAAACTAACGAGCATGAAGCAGAAAAAACATTATGCTGAATATGTGAGTAATAAAATAAAATTAAGTGGATAATATTAATCACTTCTAGTGGGAAATTATAAACTGTAGTCTGTAGGAAGTATAAAATTAGTACATCATGCACCTCATGTTGGTGCGACTGGTCGTTGCTGTAACCAGGATTAGCTGCCATGCGGTCCAGTAAAATTAGCATAATTTGGATTCTCTGAAATGCTGTTCATGATGCGTTTTGTTAAAGAGGTATAATAAAATATTCAAATGGTGGCAAAATCCTTGTTACAAAAGACTCGTGCTCAGGTTTAAGTAATTTTTAATTGAATAAATTCGATGTCATAGCTACTCTATTAGTCAGGTGAAGAAACACAATAATTTATCATTTAATATTTCGAATGTGACATTGTCATTTGCAAATGAATTAAAATTCATCAAATCGATTAAGTCAGCAATACGAACGTTGTGCTTGATTATAGAGATGCCTCTGATGCAGAGACTTCACCAACAGCTCGGATATGTTTACAGAGATTCTGAAATGGAATCTTAGATCCGCACGAACATTTTCATTAGAATCATTCAGCCGGTAAATTTTGAGGTACAGACCCAGGCCTGGCTCAGCCGTTGGAGCGTAAAACAAATTTCTGGCCACAAAAACTCGTTAGGTAATCTCATAAACGTGTAAAGCAAAGGAAGCGTGAAACTAATGTTGAGGATAGGTTTTCAGTGATGAACTCTTGCCAGCGTGGGGAGATATCTTTGGAAAGTTTGGGCACAATTCATTGATATATTTTACCATTATAATAATCTACCGGCTTTGCCTCCTCGACAGGCTAGGTGCCAGTGACAATCTGAAGGAAATAATGGACGATATTGAATAGGATCTTCTCTTATCCCAGAGAGTTAATCAGATAGAAGATCCTATCAATTTGTGAGGCTACATAATTAGAGACATAAAATTTTTACTAACAACTGTAGGCCCTGAATATAGAAGGCATCGAAAAGAATTTTCTAAGAAGTATTAATTTAGACTTGGGTTCATTTGATGGCTCTTCAATTTGTCGGAATTTCTCTGGTAAAATTACTCACATTTACTTGAGAAAAAACGTTTTAAAATATTCTTAAGCCACTGATGAAGTAAAGGCTCTCAAAATCACAAACATGATAGAATAGAATAGAATAGAAGTGTCGGCGCTGAAGAAATAGGCCCATGGCCTGTTGCCGATTCTTGAACTTTTCGTGACTTGATTCACAAGGGATCCGGCCTTTGGAACCCGATCTTCCATAACTAACGATTGATTGAGATAGCTGCTGGACTTATTGCCTGGTCCGTAATTTGCTAGGCAGTTTAAGACTGGACATATGCTCCTGCATAGCTTCGTCTATTCCGTTTTTGAAGATGTTCATACTCGGAGCGTATGAAAGTTTAGAGAAATTTTTCAAATCTAAACGTTTGATTAGAGACCAGAGAATTTGCTGTGCTTGTTTATATTTCAGCAACAAAATGACAAATAATTGCAATTATTGCAAGTCTAATGGCAATGTAAATTATCGAACGTTTTAGATAGTTGGATATGTATTGAAGAGCTATTGAAAAGTATGAGTTAGCCCTGAGCGGATCGAATAATTAACATTTTGAATCTTACAAATTCACTTTCTCCTTGATACAAGTAGTTATAATTTAAAAGTATAATGAGGAATTATCAGTTCAAGCAACGTTATATAGCAACGTTTTGTAAGTATTTTTCGTTATTTTATTGTTAGTTAATGCATCAATTTATGAAAATATTCCATGAATTGAGCCCAGGATTTTATTTTGCGTTTTCTTCCTCGGATTACCCTTGTTGAGTAGTTTCGTTGGCATGACTGCAACTACCGAAAATGATGACAGCGTCGAAAAATTAGAGTTGTTGCAACCAATTCTCGGAAACGGTCAGTAACTCTACGTCGACATCCTCATTTTAGGAGAACATCATGGCGGGCTTTAAAGATCCAAAGCACGTCATGACGAAGAAACTGCAAGTTGTTAGCACGTGCGGCGCTCTTTTGACGACGCGCTACGTGCTTCATAATCGGGCTTTTCTCAGGGTATTACCTCACGTAGTATACGCGGTCATTCTGGGTTGCGGGGAAACTAGCCTTTTACGATGAAGATAAAAACTTCGACAACAGTGAAAATAAAAAAAGGAAACAGAAAGTGAGGTTTATAGTCCCTACTAGGCAATGGACTGCGTAACGATTTAAACATGTTTAAATTTTTATTTGTTGAGTGGATATAATTTGGTCGTAGTTGAGTCTGAGCTCAGGTCACGGCTCTAAGACTGTTCTGCCTCGACTTGAACTTCATTTCCTGCTACAATTAAGCCATTACACAAAACCAGCTTCATTTTTTGATGCAATTTTGAAGCGAGGCAGTTGCGCCAAATGACTACACGCTGCCATCCGTTGCCATTGCAAGAAGCATCTTCTGTGTATATAGCATTGCTATTGCTCTACGATCTCACTATGATAAGCGTCCTGAGCATTGCTGGGTCACAGCCAACAGATGACCTGCCTGTACGACTCTGCAATATGAGCTCAAACATTTACTAGAAGATTATTGTGCTTTTTATTCTTCAGTCGTGAAATTAACGCTGTCCCAGTAAATGTCGTACTTGCACTAAAAGTTGAAGTATTTTCTTTTTGTGGATAACAAATCGGCAATGGATATGCAAACTTCCTCGTTATTTACATGAGTTAATTTGCGTATTCCAAGATTAAAAATTATAACAAAAATTTGACTGGTTATATTCCAGCGTAAAGAGAATTTCTCTGATGTGCACAACGGCCGAAGAAGAATTTCTGATGGATTTGACTGTGATCGCAGCAGTACATGGTGAGGAATGCTGAAATTTGATTGCTGGACGCTATAGGTGGGATATAGTGACTGTATAGGTGAGATATATGCAAGCTATGAATCTTCTCTCATCCTAAATTAGACCCGATGTTGAATGGCAATAAATCAATCTATTCTAACATGGTTACCATGCGTTGCGCGTAGTTGTGCTACAAATTTCCAAATATTAATTTACTTCAATTCTGCAACACATGAAATTCATGGGTAACTACTACAGTAAAACAACTGGAACAATCAACTGAAAAAATGTAGCCAAACTTTTGGAACCATGTTTTTTGATCCTTTAAATGTTGTTATTTTTGACTTTTCAACAATGTGACAGTTTATTTTCCTCCGATCATAATTCAATATATTTGAGAACGAAAGGAAAACTGTTATACTAACCTGTGCTTTATTAAATATCACAGAATCTTTGCCTGATTAATTTCTTATCTATGGTAACATGGTAACCTGAGACGAAAATAATGTGCAAAGGTTAACCTTGATTAACCGTTTAGTAGCGCCTGTCGAGCTTGTTATAAAATGATCAAACTGTATATAAGCAATTATAGGCTAAAATGTTGACTCGCGGCCAGGTGGAAACGTCGCCTTTGCTAGATAAAATATATACACGAAATTTCTCAAACTTCAATCATGCGGCAGAGAACATGTTATTAAGATTTTCTCGCAACGTTTTAATTGTAGTCTACGGAGGGTATCGCCACTATGTCGGGGCTAAGCGAATTCAACATTGATGAAAGTAGCCTATTTAATATTCCCAAGTTAAAAATAACAACTATGGTTTTCTTAACAAATGTAGGTATTTGAAAACTATGAAATCAAAGCTAAAAATCTACGTAGAACGATACTCGAAAATTAGAAGGAAGGGGAAATTTTTCACGTACTGGCGTCATTTTTACACAAAATTAATTTTTTTCAAAATAAACTGTTTATTTGCAAATTGTTCGAGCTACAAATCAAGTAAAATATTAATCCGGATTTATACAAATGTAGAGAATAAAAAGACCAACGCTCCGATAGAACAGCAAATCTTGAATATAATTAAACAACATGGAAAACAACAATGCGCTCCATATAATAAAGTTTGTACTGTACAAACATTAAAATTTAAACATGGGTCATGGCTTCGAAAATTCGACCTTAGTAAAACATCAGAGAATATTTTTGAGACCACCACAAATTTTTATAAAATATTTTGTCCGAATGAGTTGTGGTCGGTTTTTGACCCCAGCAAGATATTCCCGCAGCGCTCATCAGCACGCAAAAATCTTAAGTCTGGTTTTCGATGCAGTCGCAAACAACGGAAAACTGCGAAGCCTGGGGGCCGCGAGCGACGTTAGTTCTCGAGGATGGGCAAGAGGAGCGGGCGGCTACGAGCTCAGAACATGCGGTCACTTCCTGAGGGCTTCTGAACACGCGCTCGTTTGCAGGCCTCGTCCTGCAAATGCCTCGCCCAATAATACCGAAGCCTCAGTCACTCATACCTGAGGCTCGGCCACTCATACCGAAGCCTCGGCCACTTATACCGGAGCCTCGGCCACTCATACCAAAGCCTTGGCCATTCATCATAGCCTCGGCCACTCATACTGAAGCCTCGGTCACTCATACCGGAGCCTCGGCCACTCATACCGGAGCCTCAGCCACTCATACCGGAGCCTCGGCAACTCATACCGAAGCCTCGGCCACTCATACCGAAGCCTCAGTCACTCATACCGAAGCCTCGGCCACTCATACCGAAGCCTCGGCCACTCATACCGGAACCTCGGCCACTCATACCGGAGCCTCGGCCACTCATGCCAGAGGCTCGGCCACTCATACCGGAGCCTCGGCCACTCATATCGAAGCCTTGGCCATTCATCATAGCCTCGGCCACTCATACTGAAGCCTCGGTCACTCATACCGGAGCCTCGGCCACTCATACCGGAGTCTCAGCCACTCATACCGGAGCTTCAGTCACTCATACCGGAGCCTCGGCCACTCATACTGGAGCCTTGGCCACTCATACCGGAGCCTCGGCCACTCATACCGAAGCCTTGGCCACTCATACCGGAGCCTCGGCCACTCATATCGAAGCCTCGGCCACTCATACCGGAGCCTCGGCCACTCATACCGAAGCCTCGCCTCCTAATACCGAAGCCTCGGCCACTCATACCGAAGCCTTGGCCACTCATACCGGAGCCTCGGCCACTCACACCGAAGACTCGGCCACTCATACCGGAGCCTCGTCCACTCATACCGGAGCCTCGGCCACTCATACTGAAGCCTCGGCTCCTAATACCGAAGCTTGGGCCACTGTTACCGAAGAGAAAGCAATTCGATCGTGCACAAATGTATCATGACTGGAATAAATCTGCCGTGTGAATCTCGTGGAGAAAAGCGAGCAAAAACATGTGATTTAGGTTTTCCAAAATATATCGAACATAAATATCTATATCATTATCTAGATACAACAAACAAATATTGACCATGAGCATGGATATAATTTCTCAACATTACGATTTGTTATTCCAGAAAAAAATTGAAAAAAAATTTGGTGTAACATTGATATACAAAATTAGAAAAATTACAAAATTGTTCAACCACACTGATTAATAAACGCAAGGTAACGAGCTAAATGATTGCAAAGAAGTTTGTATGCAGCATTGTAAGCGTGAAACTAATTAGATGAATGGATTTTCAATAATGGACTCTTGCAAGCATGGAGAGAAATCGTTATAATTTTTAGGCCCATTTCATTGATATATTTTACGATCATTGTAAATTACACGATTTTCTGTTTCTTAAGATAAACTGTGACAATCCGAAGAAAATAATGGACGATTTTAAAAAGGATCTCTACTTATTGCGAGAAGGTTATTAGAGACTCAGACATATTGAGTTTTTTCGTATTTTTCTTAGTTAGTTAATTTTTTCTTAGTTCGTTAATTTTTATTCACTCAACTAACGTGAAAACTCGGGCAATACGGTAATTAAAACGTACGTAAAAAGTAACGCTGTCAATTTATAGCGACTATTAGTATTTAATTCTTCAGCTGACTTTACTGATTACCAACGTCTCAGCTTTACTCTATGGCCTCAATTGCTCAATGGCCTCAATTGGATGAGGAAGTGATTACAATCCCACGTCCTCAGCCACAAATAATTCTTGATGTGAAATTTGTTTTTACGCAATATCTTACTTACAAAAGTCCAATTTTTCTTGCGTAAAACACGTGTTCTAAATAGAAAAATATAATTAAAAACAACTTTTTTATGCAGTTGACTAAACTGCGATTACTGGAAATAGAAGAAAATATATGAATTCTGAAGCAATTTAAGAACGTTAATTGGCATAATTTTTCTAGTCGTCTTTGAAATTTTTGATAGAGCGTTTGTTGGGAACACAATTTTCGGACATCTGCGACACAAAGGCCAGCAAAATGTGAAAATATGACATTTCTGCAGGTCTTTTGACCATCATCATAGCCAATCTCGACGTAACAGAAATTCTATCGAAAAAAATGAAGGGCATCATTGCTCAAGATTTTTTTCTTTTTGTGCTAAAAATTGGAAGGCAGTGATCCAGACGATAAATGAATTATTGAGAGGCCGAGCGGCCCTCAAAACTGGAAATATTTCATTCCGAGGCGCTGAAGGAGCCGCCGTTCATCGATATATTTATCATTGGCCTGTGAATAGCGGCTGCAGCAGCCATTGAACACTAATACATCAAGACTCTGGCAAACTCTTGGTACCTTTTTCTCTTGATTCTCGAAGAAGACTTTGAAACTTGCTACTTTTACGGAACGATTCCGCGTAGAACCTTGGACGCGAGTTCTACGTATGATGTATCATGTGTTTGATGAAATGAACTTCTCACCAGAGCTTAATTGCATAACATGTGATGAATCGTATATATGACGAAACGAACCTTGCACGAGAGCTAAACGCTAGATAAATCGTGTATTTGATGACACAAACTCATTTTTAGCATCAAATGCGTATTCGTCTAAACGGAAATTTTTGCCAATGAGTTAGAGCACGAGCGATCGTGTCACTGCTTGTGACTAGCATGTAAACGAGAGATTTTAAACGCGACGAATTTGTATCATCATCTGAATAGATAGATTTCTAGGAGTAGCATCCATTATGATGAATTCTATTTAGAGTTTGAGGCGTGGCAGGACGGTATACTTCTATTTTGCTACGCTGTAATCAATATTTTCGATGTGTCGACGCGCGGGATTGGCGCTACTTCCTAAATAACTGCGCTTTTTACCCACATCACAGCTCAAATGAGTTGAATTGGAATGAAATTCTGCATGAAAAATAATATGAAATGCATTCATTACATTCATCTAAAATAAAAACCTCTTGACGTCAATAATATAATGGAATTAATCAATTTTTAACACAATAAAGCTCATTAACATAAAATTCTTTCGGAACAATAGTTGCCTCGATGAGAGACGAGCGTGGAAGACAGAGTTTCATTTGTTACATTTTTATTTAAAATTCATACCTGCTAATAATTACAATGCAAGATTAAAACATTAAGGTTTTTTGAATTACAAAAAATTCTTTTCCAATATAATGATACGGAAATTTCAATGTATATCTTAATAAATAATGTATTATACCTCTATAACGTTTTGGCTGCATTCATATCTAGAATGTAGTGCACTGGGGCAGGTAGCAAGGGAAATTCTTATAAAATATGCATCTGTGGCAAACAAATTCTGGGTTGTGTCAAGGTATTAACAATTAATGACCTGATATCTTAATTGCGTTAAATTGACAACTATATATAGTTTCTCAATACTATAGGTCTAGGCCGTCTTTATTCCTAAATAAAAATTTTCTTAACCACTATTTTTGATAATTTTGATCAGCATTAAAATATCTTACCTGCATGGAGATATTTAAAAATGTTCCCATCATTGCAGTTCTCTATGCAATCCTAATCAATATGCATTGAGTGCAATTTTGAGCAAGCTTATATAGAAGCCACAGATCTTGTTCACTATATTTGCCTTGCAGAAGAGATAAATTTTGTGAAATTCTCTTTACCTTAAATTTTTATTCAGTGTCCTTTTTTGGATTGGACTTTTTTTGCGGTTGTCTCCGAGCGCTGAGGACTGATTGTTTTTAACTTTGCTTCATCCTGTGAGAATTATTTAAAGCACCGGCATGACCATCATCTATTAAAATAACCAAATTAGCACCGCCGCATTTCACGAGCTTTGATAAAATTTAACAGTAAAATGTTTCTTTCCTCAGCGGCAAGAACCTGCAGTTAGCATTACACCTTCTAAGTGATGACTAAAGTTCAAAACAATACTGTTGTCGGAGGCGAGGAGAGCAATCATGAAGTTATACAACTTTTAACTAACAGTTTAGATCGTATTTAACGGTTATAGGCTCAGAATTGTAGAAATTACGACACGCTTTCCAGATACACACACACCAACAATCCACACTGTTTGATTTTTTTTACAGCGAAAATTTGAAATACACGGATTATTACAATTTATCGTGTTGTTGCCACTGTTATTTACAAAAATAGGAAATTTGAAGAAGTCATTCGGTTCTTGTTTCTGGAAAAAATAAATATAGTCCTGTCACCATTTCGAATGGGACTCTCCTGAGGACCAAATTAAAAAATTCAGACTTGAGCTGGGAATTTTGGGAAATAGAGTCCATTTCCCGCTATTCTAAAGGATTAAGCAATAGATTAGTGCAGGCTCTCACTTAATTACCTTCTTCATTCTAAAGTAATGGATAGAAGAATCTTCTAATTGATTACCTCAGCCCTTGCTCTAAATACTCGCTGTCTGTAGCAGGACTCTGCGGCCGCTCCGTGTCAATTGGCTGCATCATTCAGTTCAGATGTAATGGCTTATGCTGAAAAAATAATTTTAATTTGAATATCACGCATTCATTTAATTATTACACTCGGAGTAAACTCCACAGATACAAAATTTTGATTCGGCGATTTTGATGATATAGCGGCAAAATTTAACCGAATTCAAAAAATACATTGGACACAAACTCATATATTTTCATTTCATGTACTTGTTATAAAATTAGGCTCCTCGTCAATTAAATTCACGTGGAAAAATATTGCTCGACAATTTAAGTGGTCCAGGTAGATTTCTTGATGTACGAAATTAGCCATTGACATTTTTATGGCTGAATAGCATCTTATGAAAACATTATAGTGACAGTTAATTAGGTTGATGTGTAAATGAAATAATGTAGAACTTATTTAAGCTAGACATTTAATTTTATTACTAGTGTCAGCAGTTCAGGCTTTCGTCTACGAAGTTGAGGAAATTTGAGTGCCTGTTGGTGGCAACATCGAGGTACGTAACAGCTAATTAATGAGGGCTGATTTTTGACCTCATAAACGAATTATTCATTGTTTGAGCATATGAATTTTTCGTATTATTTAAACGTACCATCACGACACGGATTCGCATTCATTTCCAAGAAAAATTATCCATTTTACTCTCCTTCAAATATATTTTGAGAGTCTATCACTGTTTCTCACATATATAGACCCTACATATTATTTAAGTGCTAAGGTTAATAGCGAGCTTGTACACAATTTCTCTGCCTTCTGGTGAAATTTTTAGTTCGCTTTGTGCCTCAGAATTACGAACGTGATGGTTCATACAGTTGAGCCTTCTAAGGTTCAGCTTGGTTCGGTATCTGCATGGACATCGAGCCAGGATCCTGATTGTTTTCTACAATTATCTGGATTGTTTTCCAGATTAACACATGTTTATCTGGAAAAACATGTTTCGGCCCCTAACCATATGGGTTCCTCCACAACTAGCCCCGTTTTTTATAAATATTTCAAAAATTATTGATAATATACCGTTCAGTTGCCGAACTTTTGCGATCTAATCCCTTTTCAAATATAATTTAACTATTAATACATTTAATTCATACTTTGATTTTTTTGAGAGCATACTCGTGTGTTGTCAATATTTCATTTCATTGCTTCCATTCAAAGTATTACGTTTCTTCCTGCCTTCAACCAAATTATAACTTGTCTCAACTAAAGTGTGTTGAGCTCACAATCTAAGCAGCTTATTGTAAATAGATTTTAAGTAATTTTAAGATTTTAAGTTAATTTTTCATAATTCGATACATTGCGTTCGATTTTTTTATGCACGTGGAAATCATAGCGAGGATTTCATTCAACAATATAAGCCAAAACATCGAGAAAAATATTCCCATCATATGCTTAAACTTATTACGGATTAAA